ATTAATCAACAAGCTGAAGGCTGGTGGTACTAGTGTATATCTTATATCGGGAGGCTTTCGTCAAATGATCAATGTATGCTGCTAGACTCTATAACAAGGCTCATGTTTTTTGTGGTTATAAAAGTACAGACCACAATTTGCTGCTAAAATATTTTGCAGCGCTATTTAGACTGCATAAATGACACACTAGAAGCAGTTTTTTTTTAAAAAAAATACTTAAATTCAAGTCTATAATTGAGAGCCTATAGAGTATTACCAAGTGACTTGCACTCTAGTGGCACAACTTATTTAACTAAAGTTAAGACAAAATTCTAATTTGCATAACTTCCAAACGCAATGCTGAGATGCAGATAACTTTGGTTCCCTGTTCTTCACAAGTTTGGTTGGACAAGTTGCATAGAGACTGCAGTCGATGCAGATAATATCATTTTCTTTCTGCTTATGCACCATCATGAATCATAAATATGTAATCTGCAAGTTTCTCATCAATTCTCACAAAAAATTTGGTATATGACTGAGAAGTGTTAATAGTATTCTTTTGCAATCTTATTCTTTTAGTAGGTAGCATGTTCTTATTCAATCTAATTTTGTTGAATAAATCAATTGCTAAGTGTTAATAGTATTCTCTTGCAATCTTATTCTTTTAGTAGGTAACATGTTCTTATTCAATCTAATTTTGTTGAATAAATCAATTAACCATGCAAACTTCCAAACATTTTCCAAACCCCGACATGGTGATTATCAAGTCCTATAGCTTTCAGAAATCATATTTGCAAAGCTTCTTTTAACTTCAGAAGCCTATTCAACAATATCTCTAGTTTCCGCCTTGATTTGACTTTATTTGATTCTGTCTCAAGTCTCCTTTATGATTCTCATTAAACTAGTTAATAACTTTCTAAGAAACCTTGCATAATTTGTTACTCATTTTGTATGTCGCTTACAGCTGTAGTATCTTTTTACTATGAAGTTTGAATTTACTGAAAATAGTACGCTGACACATTTAAGTGTGAAGCCTGTTGCATCACAGCTTGGAATTGAAAACATCTACGCAAATCAATTACTTTTTACGAGTTCTGGGGGTTTCCTTGGGTTTGACAAAGACGAGTTTACTTCTAGGAGTGGTGGGAAGGCTACAGCTGTGCAACATATAAGAAAGGTACAGGAATTTGTGATGGTAATTAAGTTAGATAATTTTTTTCTCGACTTCTTCATTTTATAATTTGGGACTTGTAGGTCCATCACTACAAGACTTTGGTCATGATTGGAGATGGAGCAACTTCATTTTATAATTTGGGACTTGTAGGTCCATCACTACAAGACTTTGGTCATGATTGGAGATGGAGCAACTGATCTTGAGGTATGGAAAAAAAAAGGTCCATCACTACAAGACTTTGGTCATGATTGGAGATGGAGCAACTGATCTTGAGGTATGGAAAAAAAAAACTTTGATATCAATTTTCTAAATGTCATATCAATTTCGAAATTTTTGGTGCATCAGTTAGGTTGTAGAGGTTTTGATTGAAGACCGGGGCTAATATTCATTAATATCAAAATATGCCAAATATTTCCATATTTTAGCCGTTAATATGGATTCATTGCCAATTCTAATGGCAGACTAGCAAAACCCACTAATATTTATGATATCAATGCTATAAAAAGCGACAGGTAGAGTAACTATCACTGAGATTTAAAGGTTGTTACGTAGTTATGATAATGCATCATAAGATAAAAGGTTTACATGAATTTTTTCATCGCAGATCCTACCATAGTCAAGGCTGTCACGCAGTCGCAGGGGTTAACTGGCACACAGCCCCCCCCCCTCCCCCCCCAAGAAAGAAGATAGTTACAATCATGAGGAAGAGAGGCCATCTTGCAATTTATTTTTGGCTAAAATGCAGTTCAGGGTTGTTAAGTAGTCAGGTTGAATGAAGTTAAGGGTGTTAAGTGTGCAAAGTGAAAGGCTAATAGAATGAGAGGAATTCTGTGGCATTTTAGCGCATATAATCGAGCCATGGTTTTTGCTTAGCCTGGCTTTTATTGATGAATATGTTCCAATTAATTATTGGGCAGTTTGCTCATAGAAAATTGAGGGCTAATAGTTATGTGTTGGCTCTATACTCCGTGCAGTGCTGTGTGCATGCAAACAGCGCACACAAGGATGAACTCATTCTGTGTCCTGCCTACTTTGGTGTTAGCAGGAAGGCCGCAAGAACACTACTGAGTGGCTCTAATGTTTTATTGAAGTATTTGTAGCCTATCTGCCGCATTTTGCCTTTTGCTTACTACAAATCCAATAAGCTTAGTTTATTATTTTATTTTTCCAGCTTTACTGTGTGTCTTGATCCGTAGAATGTCCTTACTCGCCAACCATACGGCATATTTTGCCTTTCTGACTTTTCATGACTAATGTGTATCATTGTCAGCAAACACTACAAAAACCTCGAATAGCCATGAGAGGACACCGCCATACTCCGCGTCTACTGCTTCTTCATTTTACCTATCAATGTTTATATTAAAAAAAAAAATCCTTAGTTCAAATGCTTTTTTTAAAGGATCATGTTTCCTAAGTAATCATATTTTCTTTCCTAATTTTGCAGGCGTCGGCGCCAGGTTTTTTTTTTTTTTTTTTGTTTGTTATTTTTTTGGTTGGCGCTGATATCCTGTTCTTGCTATGGCAGGGGTTCAGCTTGCGTGACACAGTCGGCAGCCAAAGCTGATGCTTGTTACGACTTCAAAACAACTGCTTAACTTCATTGGAATAACCTGTCCTCCAGTCAGCAATGGAAGAATTTTACCCTATACGCTTATTATTTTGATATCAAGTTTGTTCTTTAATAGATGTTATGTGTTACAATTCAGAATTCAAAATTTGTACTCAACTTGCGGTTCTCCCAGGTTTCCTTTGTATTCCTGGTGTGTTTGTAACAATTAAAGGGGAGTATGCTGGTGTTAGTTGAGGCTTAAGATCTTTAGTTCTACTTGATCTAACAGCTCCCACTTCTATTGGAGGTTGGACATTGAAAATTTTGATCGAGGGGAAAGCTACAACAGAGATTTTGTTCTCTGTACTGTGAAGTTAGCGGTTTTCCCTAATGTAGAAGAAGGCTAGCAAAGGCTAGTGAATGAGCGTAAGATTTTTAAAAACCCATAGCTTGTTTCAATTTTAAAGTACTTTAAAAGTAATCAGTCTAACCACTAATATTTCTATTTGTCAACTACCCTACTAAATATATGGCATTAGCGTTAGCGTCTGCTCTCTAATTTAT